TTGGCAGAGGATTTCCGTGGCCACAGATGACTGTTTTATTTTTACTTCAATAAAATAAAAAGAAATGAAAAATCCCTTATTTTTCCATATTTTAGTTAACTAGTTGCATTTACATGAATTTTTTTCATGCTAATTTAGACAGGTTTTAAGTACAAACAGAATATGTAGAGAATATGAGAACTTCTTGGAAAACTGTTAAAATTTGATGCATTCTGTGTCTGTGGTAAAGTTATGATGTAAAAATTTTCTTCTGTGGCTGTGTTGAGGCCTCTGGGGCATCTGTTCTTAGCTTTTTCTTTTATTTCCCAAGTTATTCCTAGGCCTATTCCCAGAACGATTCACCAAGTATATTCCTGTTGCTCGGAATGAAAAGGGGAAAAAATAGGCACATCACACTTGTATGAAAAATGATTGCAACCAAACAGGTAAAACTCTGTACATACCATAGTCTATAACAGTGCTGCTTACCTGGTTTGCTCTCTCTGGTCAACAGTATGTTGATTATTAACATACAATCAGATTTCTTAAATATACCTAATGGTTAAATATACTCCTGATTTCTTAAATATACCTAATGGTTAGCATTATTTTTATATAACTAGAAACCTCATAAACAAACACTTAGTTGAAAAAACATACACTGTGCATGTGAGTGTATGTGTATAAAATAAGTTAAAAATAAAACATATGAATAACCACAGGGTTTTAATATTAACTACCAACCGAGTCCCTTTATATGTTGGAATATTGCCTTTTTTGCTAGTGGTTTTAGCAGGTATTTTGATCATTGCTTGATTAGTTTTCTGTTACTGCTATAACAAATGACCACAAACATAATGGCTTCAACAAGAAAAATATATCTTAAAGTTTTGTAGGTTAGGTGTCCAACAAGGCCTCACTGGACTAAAATCAGATGTCACCAGGGTTTCATTCCTTTCTGGAAACTCTAGAGGAGAATTTGTTTCCTTGCCTTTTCTAGCTTCTAGGGGTTACCCACATTTCTTGTCTCATGGCCCCCTTCCTTCACCTTCATAGTATGTTGCTTCTCTCTATGCCCTCTTTCCAGTTACATTTTCCTCTGACTCTTTTTTTTTTTTCCTTTTTGTCTTTTTTCGTGTCCGGCAACGGATCGCAACCCTCAGTGTCGCACCCGTACCGGACCAGGACCGGCAACAGGATCGCAACCCTCGGTGTTGCTCCCACACCTCGCTCAGCCAGTGAGTGGGAACCGGTCTGTATGTGGGATCCGAACCCTCGGCGGGAGCGCCACCGCGCTCTCAAGCGGTGCACTGTAGCAGTGCGCCACCAGGCCGGCCCTCCTCTGACTCTTTTTAAGAACCTTTGTTATTACATTGGTTCCACCTGGATAGTACAGCATAGTTTCTCTATTTTAAGGTCAGCTGATTAGCAATCAAAATTCCGTCTGCAAACTTAATTCCCCTTTTCCATGTAAACTAAGATATTCACAAGTTCTGGGGATTAGGGTATGAACCTCTTTGGAGAAGATTATTCTGCCTACTGCAATTGCCTGGGTAAGTGGGCCTTAACTTGCTGATCAGAATCACCTCTAAAGCTGGATAAACACAAATTCTAAGGCTATACACCTAGTGTTTCTGCTTCAGTAGGTATGAAGTGGGTCCCAAGAGTCTGCCTTTTGACAAGTTCCCAAATGGTGGTGATGACTCTGCTCAGGGAATCACATTTCAGAAATCACTATTCTAGATCATCATTACATTAAGGGTTGCAAATTGGTGATATTTGGATTTTATTAATAATTAGATTTTGAAGTAAATTTCTTTTCATTGGAGTTGTTAGATTAAATGGCAGACACCTAATTCAATTTGAATGTCAGATAAAGAATAACTTTTTAGTGTAAGTATGACTCATGCAATATTTAAGAAACACTTATACTAAATAGTTATTCCATGTTTATCTGAAATTCAAATTTAACTGAGCATCTTGACTTTTTGTTTGCTAAATCTGGCAACTCTAGTTTTCATCTGGAAGGGGAAAATAGGGCTGCTTGTCAGTGAATATTATATGAAGGACAAAAATTTTGACATACCTTTTTCAAACCTTTCTTGCACTCAAGTCAGTTGGCAATTCTCTATTAATCACTTGTAATGAAACTACAAATCCGCTTATATTTTTTCACTCGTAATAGGTATTGAATATCTAAGAGGGCTGATTAGATATCTTTGCTATAGTTGTCCAGAGTATTTAACAAGAAACAGCTATAAGGCTTTCTTTTCATAAAATTTCTACATATTTCTTATTAGGATTTTTAGTTGATTGCTTGGTAAGTATTAGTGTGATTATCCCAAGGGATATACACACAAGGCCAGTGCTCCTGCTGCCTCCCTGACTCCTCCTTATTAATCAAGACAATGTGAATCATATTGTTTATTTCTTGTAGACAAAGCTTTCCAACTCTCACAGAGGAGAGACAGATGAGAGGGAAAAATATTGCTCTGGTTTCTACTTCTACCAATCTCATTTTACCTTGCATGAAGTAAAAAATCACAGTCTCTTTGGTGAGATAAATATCTAAGCCAGAGTTTCACAATCTTTCTGCATTCATAATGTCTTCAGTGTCTCAGTAACTTTTTTGTAAAACCCTTAGACCAAAATAAATACCTAAAAGTTCCCTTTATTAACAAGTTAGGTTCAAGCAAGTTAGCAAATATTTATATCCTAAGGACGTAGTAGCCATTTGAAAAAAAAGTAATACACATACTGAAAGAAAAAAATAATGTTTTTATTTTATTCTTTAATAGCCACAATTATTTACTAATGTAATATGTAAACCTATCAGACATGACACTACTTGTCAAAACTTGCAGTCAGATTGGATATGACCACCCTCATTTCATCTTCCACATTGACTCATTGCTCAGTATTTGCCCTTTATCACAGAATCATGGAAAACCCAGCTTTGGAAATTTATGGTGTCATTGAAAGGAATGTAGTATAATCTAATGTTGAAAGTGTGAACTACCTCAAGCTACAAGTTCCTGCAGTGTCTGACAGTCATAGAATACCACTATGTTTTCCTCAATACCACCATGTCATAGAATTCCACTATGTTTTCTAAAATATACTGTAGCATTCCTATAAGTTTGTTGGGGAACCTCAGGATACCTTGATGCATAGTTTTGAAACTGTGGACATAAATAACAATTGCAATCCAAGCAACACAAAGCCAAAGTTCAAATTTGAATTCTGTAACTCAGTAGTTCCAAGACCTCAAATAAGTTACTTAATGTCTCTAAGTCTTACATTTCATATTCATTTAACGAGGACAAAAATAATACAATACACCATTTGTTCTTCTGATATAAAGTAAGTGCTCAAATATTACCTAATTTTATTATCATTATTCATAATAATAGAATGATGAAAAAGATACAGACAGTGTATAAGAGGAAATGGTTAATCTCTCTGAAGTAGTTTAGCTGTTAAGAGTGAGAATGCCTAAATAAGGTTTTGAGAATAAAAATATATTTAACTGAATAATTTTGGGAAAACAGTGCAAGCAGAGGTGATGTATTCAGGGACATAACTAGAGAGTAAGTACAAACATGGGTGTGGCAAAAGCTGAGGCAAAAGCTGAGGTATCCCCTTGTTTAAAATGTCTGGTACAGTAATAAGGCTGTGCCCAGTGAGATTTTTTTTTTTTTTTCCTTTTTGAAGTGATTTTAGCTGTTTGGTCAGTATCCAAAAAAAAAGAGAGAAATCAAAATGGTATTCTTAAATCTTTAGAAGAATACCTGGATGAGGTGTTTAACTTAGTTAAAATGACAAAAATATGCACATAAGTTAATAGTCACAATCTTTAAAAAATTCAAATAATTCAATTTCTAATATGATACCACAGAGTTACTAAAATAATGATTGATGGGATTTTTATTATATTTTTCCTACATTCCATTCATACAGCATATAACTTCAACAGTAGCATAGTTATTTTTCTACCAGATAACAAATTTTTATTTGTGATGAGGAAAATCAATTGATTCTGCAAAATAGTGTTAATGATAACACAACAAAAGTACTTGTGAGTACATAATTTTCATAATAATGATCTGCAGCAACATTCATAAAGTGTGCAAGAACAGAGCTAAGGTAAAATAGTCTCTAAACTGTGAAGAAATTTTGAGAATGAAAAATGAATCAGACAACTCCATAAAAGTATTACCAGAAGCTTATTGACAGGTAACTTACATAAGGAAAGGATTGGACAGGTGACAATCCAGACATTTGCACAGCTGCACTTTGCCCTGTGCTATCTGGGGTGGGGATGGGGGAACCATGAGTTTATAAAGGGCTTGGAGACAAAGGTGGAACTGGGCCAAAGAGAAAAAAAATCTGTTGAAGTGGATAATTCCCAGATGTTTTGTGACCAAGATGTGTTTATCCTAAAAGTTGCTTTCTTCACATAACCTTATCTTAAACTGATATAGCATTCCATTCCTTCTTTGCCTCGAATCTCTAAATAACCTGGGTAGGAGAAGGTTATAGAATGGGCAGATGAGATCTATATAGGCCAAAGATGGAGTCAGTATAGCCAACATTCCCACATTCTACCCTGACATCTGATGCTTATACAATCTTATCCACCAATCTTCTGCTAGGGTCCTAGAGCCAGATGTTGGGAGGTGACTTGCTTTCCTCCTGTATGACGTGGCAGGCAGGGAGTAGAAGATCAAAGAAACCTTGAGGCTGCTTTTTTATTCCAGTATGTCAAAGCACCATATTTCTGGGTAATAGCATGTTTGCGGCCCTACATTCCCCTGTCTGAAACTTCCCTCGAAGTTTCACATATTAAAAGCTGAGTTGATGGTTGTGGAGAGAAAAAACGAGTTTGTAGGAGGAAGAAAACACCCAAAAAACATTAGTCTGTACAGCCACAGCCAGACACTGGAGGAAATTAAAAATTCATGATTCAGTCCAGATAATAAAAATCTCCAAAAAAAAAAAAAAAAACACCTCAAAAAAAGAAAAATTAAAAACACTAAAGCTCATACATCTGCCTCAATTATCTTATGTGGGAAAAATGATTTCATGTGTGATGAGATGCAACACTTTTTACATGATGCTGTTTGTGTGAAGAGAGTTTTAGAGTTAAAATCCATGGTTCCAGTTGGGGGTGCCATAGAAGCAGCACTTTTCATATACTTTGAAAACTACATGACCAGCAGGAAGTCTTGGGAATAGCTTGCTATCACAGAGTTTGAAAGATCTCTTCTTGTTATTCCTAATACACTGGCAGTTGATGTTGCACAAGACTCCACAGATCTGGTTGCAAAATTAAGAGCTTTCATAATGAAGCTCAAGTTAACCCAGAATGTAAAAAATCTAAAATGGATTGGTCTTGATTTGATCAATGGTAAACCTCAAGACAACAAACAAGCAGGCATGTTTGAACCAACCATAGCTAAAGTTGAGTCAGAAATTTGCAACAGAAGCTGCAATTACTATTCTTCAAATTGATTATCTTATTAAATTTCATTCAGAAAGTAGAGATAATATACATGGAGATTATGAACATGCTGTATGCTCTGGAGACCTTTATGACTAATCTGATATAATTTTTAATTATAACAGTGTTAGATGCAATTGCCATGTAGCTTGAATATTACACATGAAAGTACAGCAAGCTGTCTAAGACAAAAAAACAAAAACAAAAACAGTTTAGTCTATGGACTGATTATTTGCATAAAGTGTAGTAAGAATAATGATCTATCATACTGGCCCCTTTAAGTTGGCTTTGCTGGGATTTTTAAAAGGAATCTCCAATTAGAACTTTAAAAACCTCTTGTATAAGTTTGTTTCTGTTGCATATAACAGAAATATCTGAAGCTGGTTAATTTGTAAAGAAACAATATTTACTGCTTACAGTTTCAGAGGCTGGGAAGTCCAAAGTCCAGGGAACACATCTGGTGAGGGCTTTGTTTGTGGGTGGTAACTCTCCACAGAGATGCAGGGTATCACATGGTGAGAATTGTAGAAGCAAGAGAGAGACTAACCTCCTCACTTGCTCTTCTTTTAAAGCCATCAGAACCACACCCATGACCACCATTAAACCATCAGTGAATTAATCCTTTTACTAGGTCATGTTCCTCACAATCTAATGACCTCTTCAAGGCCTCATCTTTCAATTACCATAATGGGATTTCCCACCCTTTTAACACAATCACATTGGGGTTAAGTTTCTGATACATGGAGCTTTGGAGGAAAAAATTCAATCCATACCACCTCTCAAGGCTAAAGAATTCAGTCCTAAGAGATTTGCTCTCTCTCAGACTGTACCTATAAGAATTGGGTGAATTCTTCTCTTGCAGAAGTTCCTGGGCCTGCCAGAAAGTAACATTTCTTACCACAAGGCCAGAAACTTTGTAAAAGAATGTGTAGACAGGTACCAGGCCAGTCTTTCTCCAAGTCTATTGGCTTTATGAAGTCAATCTCAATTTCTCAAAGTAGTCAGGTCATATCTGAAAATATGACATTCCATTCAAAGACTTGAGGGGCCGGCCCGGTGGCGCACTGGATAGTGAGCCGCTTGGGAAGCGCAGCGGCGCTCCCGTCC